AGTGGGGGGCCGCCGGAGCGGGGGCAGGACGGCCCGCCGCCGGGCAGCTCCGAAATGAAAAGGGCGTTTGGGGCGAGAGCGACGCCAACCCCGCCGTCGGAGGAAGGGGGTTAGTTACAGTCCCCGCACGCGCGCTCTCGGACACCGAACCGAACAAACAGGTCGCGCCCGTCCCCCAGGACGGTGTTTTCGGGTTGAAGGCATCACGACGGCCGTTTCTTGACATAACTGTCTTTTTTTTTTTTTTTTTAAAGTCTTTTTAGGCTGGAATCTGCCTCCCCTCAGGGTTTGTAAAGGAGGCGGGCGAGGCCTTTACACCGCCCCTGCTCCACCTCAAGATTCTCCTGGCGGTTTCCACGTAAGCACCTTGGTAGTTTGGGGTTTTGGTTTTTGTTTTTTTTTTTGGAAGACACTGGCTGTGAGCGAGGTCCAAACCCACCCCTGAGCCGCAGCAGGGTTTCTCGGTACAGCCAGCACGCGAGGGAACGCAAAAGACTCGTACACCTCATCGCCTCTTCCACGCTCGCCAAGCAGAGCCGGGGGTTGCCCTTCGAGCGGCCGCTCCTCCTGCAGCAGGGCTCCTAGACCCGAGGCCCGGGCGCTGCTCGCAAGGCGTCCATCACGGCGGATTAAGAGTCCGGAAAAAGCGGGAGAGTAACTTTTTCCTCGGCGCTCACTGCATGTTGTTGTTAGCGATGCAGGGGTCCACCTGAGGGAGGAAGCCGAGAGGCCGTTGAGACGCTCGGAACCTTCGTCCCAAGGCTAAACCCCACCGGAACGTTTCTGCCCGAGCCGCCTCCTCTGTCCTGCCGCCCTCACCCAGGGGTTAAGCCCTTCCCGCAGCCAGCCGCGCCGGCAGCGCTTCTCACCTCCGTGTAGGTGGGTGGTGGCATGAACTTGAACTCCGGAGCGTACATGAAGATGGGGCTGTCAAAGCTTTCGGGATCCTCCAGGAGGGGAGTGGTGGGGCTCTCCAGGCGGTGGTCTTCGGGAACGATGTCCAGGTAGCACGGGGGTGCTGCGAGGGACGGAGGGACCGGTGAGCTCTCCGCCATCGCCCGTGCTCCCCCGCAACACCCCACCGGAACCCCTCTTAGCCCCCCCCCCCCCCACCCCCGGGGGGGGGGGGGGGGGGGGGGGGGGGGGGCGGGGGGTGTCACAGCGGTGCCCGCCAAGGACCCCTTCGCTCCACTCACCTTCCGGAGCATCGGGGAGGTTCAAGTCCACCCAGCTCATTTCGGAGCTGGTCTGACTGGCCATGCTGGAGCTGCGGCTGCCGATGCCCGAGCGGCTGCCGATGACAAGGGGCAGCTCCAAGATGATCTTCTTGGAGCCCGGGACGCTGACGTAGATCTGCGAGGGCAAGAACCGGAGCTTTAAGGGATGTCGGGAACCAAGAGGGGGGACAAAGTTTGCCGGTACGCTGGCCAAGCGAGGAAGAGGAACGGCAATCCAAGCCACTCACCTGCAGGAAATACTCCACGCGCAGGATGTTGCAGCCCAAGATGGACGGTTTGAGCTTCTTGACGCGGATGGTTTTGCCCCGCCAGGACTCGGACATGCCCGAGATGATGTGGTTGCCTCGGACGCAGGAGAGTTTTTGGGTGAAGACCTTGGTCTGCCCGTTGGCCAGGTAGGTGTGCTTGGCGACGATGGCCGCTTTGGGCACCACAATGCGGGAGCAAGTGTTCTCGAAGTCGGCGTTGATGCAGATCTCGTCACCTGGGGAGGGAACCACGCCTGGGCCTTTAGGACGGTCCGCACTTTTTCCTTGCGGGAAGCCCCTTTTAGCTGATTAACATCCCCCCCCGCCTCCCCCCTCCCTCCCGCAGCGGAGGGCAGGCTCTTACCTTCACAAAAGCCTTTCCTGTCGATTTGAGCGCTGACCGACACGCGTCCATCAGGAATGAACATACAGGACACCTTCTTCTCCTTCTTGGCAGCAACCGGGGACTGCAGAGAAACGAGATTGTTACCCGGGTGAAACCCGCCGGCCGCTCCCATCCCGCTCCTCCTTCCTTCCTTCCTCTTGTTCTGCAACGCGAGCTTCGAGCTCCCCGTGAGGCTCGAGTGTCTCACAGCGGAGTGAAAGCAGAACAAGCGCCTCGCTTTACCGGTCTCGGTGTAGATTTCTACGAGTAACTATGACTTCTTAAGAACTAAGCATTTAATCCACGCTCAGCGATAAAGCCTATTAGGGGCGTCTCAATGATGGAGGTTGGACTGACCCTACCCAAGGGCTTTTCTCTCTCGTGACGCCTGTTGACACCCAAAGCTCTCGTAGTAAAGCGGCTCTTACCAGCAATTCTGGAGTGTTCACATCAACAGGATCCATAACCTCGAAGCGCTTCTTTATCTCCTGAGTGGGAAAGGACGGGCGCTCCAGGAAGGCCTTCACCCAATAATCCACGCAGCCGTACTTTCCCTTGAAGGTGGTACCCAGAGGCCTGGGGAAAGAGACGCTTGTCAGACACAACCGAGGCAACAGGAGAATTTCCCGTAGCAATCCAATTCAATTTAAGAGGCAGCGTTCCTCTCACACTCACCCCTGGGGAAGCTCGAATCCGAATTTGTACTCGTATTTGTTCCCGGGTCTCAGGATTACAGATCCGTCCCCATCTGGGAAAAGAAAAGGGGAAGGGAAACGTCAGCTGAAGCTCCAGGGGTTTGTTCCTAAGCATTATCCTCTGTTCTGCTTGCACAGGCAGCGATCAAGACAAGCGCTGCGCAGGCTTGAGCTGCGTTAGCTGTTTGGGAAGAGCCGCCTACACCTGTCCCCCAAGAGCAGCCTGAGAACCCGGCGTCTTCTCGAAGCAGGGAAGTGCCGCTCGTTTACTCTCACTTCTCCTTTCAACACCCCCATCTGAAGGCAGAACACTGTGTCCCGCTGCGCTTCGGTCCCTGTTACCTCTCCTCACCACACCCTACTTCCACTTTGTGGGAGTTATCGAGCACCCGCTTCTTTCCCCAGCTATCTCTCCATCTCCAAGACTTCACGTCACCCCGGTTACCTCCCAGGACGCTTTGCCAAGTCCCTATCTCTCGCCTTCCCTGGAGCCAGCCTAACTAGGAGGCTGCTGAAGGGAGTTCTCCGTGCCCAGAAGAGACTCCTTGCCTCGGGTGAGATCTGCGCTTGCCACTCCCTGACCACCACCTGTCCCGTGCACCGTGCCGATCGAGCGGCACCCTCCTGCCGCCCAGCCAAGGCCGACTCCGGTACTCGCTCCCTGCGGACATACAGCATTGCTGCCTGCTCTGCCAGCCACATCAACACCCAACGGCTTCTGCACGCTCCGGCGGGTAGCTCGTCCAGCTTTTGTTTCAGGCTCTGGTTAGGGCTCAGCGGCCCTCGGCTTTCAAACTTTGAACTTGACTTAGCCGAGCCCTGCCATCCTCTGCCCCAGGTTTCCATGAATTTGCCTATTTCTCCCAAGACTCGGTCAACGTCCAGTCCCACTTCCATCTCGGTGCCGAGCCCTGACACCAGCGAAACACCGCTACTGCTCACCGTAGAACCAACCCAGTCAACGCCTGCCCCAAGGGGACGCAACCGGAGACTCCCGAAGGGTCCAGCCGGCAGGAATAGCCGCTGGTCAACGGACGGCCTTCAAGCCCTTTCCTCCCCACCACCTTCTGCCCCCCAACTCCCTCCTCCCAGCCCCAGATCCTCACCCGTGGGCTGCTCCTCCAGGGCGAGGACGTCCTCGAAGCGCAGGTACTCCATCTCCTGCCGGCACTGCTGGGGGCCCTTGGCCCAGTTGACTTTGGCCACCCCGCAGGCCAGCAACCTGACGGCGCTGACGCGAGTGACCTCGGCCACCTCCACCAACACGCGCCCGGCCACCTTCTCCCCGCTGCAGTAGACCTTCTCAGGCTCGCTGAAGGCCATCAGGAAGGTCTTCACCTTCTTGAACATCACCATGGCTGAGGCTAGCGCGGGGGAACGCTCTTGAGAAAGCAGCGGG